GCTGTTAATTGTTACCTACTATAGTAACCCATTCATTCACACAAGCAAATCTTGCCCTTGGGACATTAATGGGCAATTGACATTCGCGTTTTATTATAAAAAAAATTCGGACCATCGAATCATTTTACATTTTGGTAACATTGAACGAGAGAATAAGGATCGAGTAGACGGCTGCGCGTTTCCCTTAGGAGGTTTCGAGTCTGGATAAAAGGAAAGACCGGTCGAATGCTTGTCCTGGCAGTCAATAGGACCTAATTGCTTTTACACAAACCATCCTTTAGACATGAGGAACAAATCGCCGCGCGGCCGCTTTTACCGCGTCCATCTTTCTCCCATTCAAAATTCAAAGAATCAAAAAAAAAAAAAAAGAAAGAAAAGAAAAATACAGAACCCAAAACAACTTCCCAAGTCAGAGAAAGCCAATTCACTTTTTAAGTATTTACAAACAGCTGTTAACTGTGTTTTCAGACAATTCAGATCGTTATGTAAAAAAATACCTCACTCTCACGTTCTTGTTACAATTTCTAAACAAGAATTAAACACTTCTCACAATTATCTTTTGTACATCCTTCGAAAAACTCTGTATCGTTTTCTATGCTTTTCATACTAAAATATTCATTTTTACAATCTTAGCAAAAATATGACGATATTTATATTTATCCATAAATATTTTCTTCTTTTTAGCAAAAATATTCGGATATTTACATCAAAATATTTTCTTCTTCAAAATGAAATCTCCTCAATGGGGATTCCATTAAAAAAAGAATGTTCAGATTTGTGCACATCTCTTGAAAGACTTATATTGACGAATAAAGAGAATCATTTTCAACTTTAAAAAATGAAGAGGGTTGTAATATGAATATAATAGTTTTCATTTATAGCTTTGCGAGTATATTCGTGAAATGCACATGAGCAGAAAGAAAGTTGCCTTTTTTCGCGTCCACAAGCAGAAGGCAATCATGTTTCTTAAAAATAAAAAAAAGGAAAGAAAAAACAGGTACAGAAACATTTGTCCGCGTTCATGAGGGTAAAAAAGCATTTTGAAACACGATTATCCCGCAGAGCGCTCGAAAATCAAATCCAAGTCTAGCAACTTTTGTGAATGAAAGCCACAATAATATGCGCTACGTTGCACTAGAGAGGAAGAAGAACTCAAGGGGTTTCACTCTCGTGCCCTCGATATAATACACACTATGCGGCATTCCAGATTAGACAAGGTTTCATATGGAAGTTTTGTACTCGCAGTGGCGTAGAAAATAAGGAAGTCGTTCAAAATATAATAATAATAATAATAATAATAATAATAAAAATAATAAGAATAACAAATAATAATATTAAAAATAAAAAATAATTAAAAATAATAAGAATAACAAATAATGATAAAAATTATAAAAAATAAATAATAACTCAAAAATATACTAAACTTTTGAACGCTCAAATAAACGAAAATTTATTTCTTCGTCAAATTAAATTTTTATTACAATAATTTTTCGTTCACTACCAACAAAAATTAATTACAAAGTTTCTGAATGTAAAATTTCAGTTTTTAATTTTTATATTATGTAATCGCAGTAATTTACAAAAATATTTTTAATAGACAATATTTCGTTCATTTGAACGATCAAAACTTTTATAGATAATAAAAATAAAAGTCTGAAAAAAAGGATTTTAATTTATAAAAAGGGGATTTTTCCAATTATTAAGTAAAAAAAAGTTATCCTACATCGCTTTTAAATATTCGATTAGAAATATTTGAAAAGAAATTTTGCAAAACCCGATATTTTCATTCAATTTAATTAATTATCAATTCCAAAAAAAAAGTGGAGCTGATATTTTTCGTTAAACAAACGAATCAGAATTTTTAAATGATTTCTTTTGATATATATAATCATATTTTATATACTATATATATATTTTACTTACGAAAAAAACTCATCCTTGATAGAAAACATATGTTGTTTAACTCACCTGGAAAAAAAAGAAAATACTTTATATTAAAATATTATTCTCCAATAAATAAAAAATGAAAATAATTTTATGAATTAAAGTAAGATTAAAGAAAATTTCTCTTAAATAATTTTATTAAAATATTTCGATTAATTGACATTAAAAAATAAATTATAAATTTATTAATTATTATAATTTTAGGGATCGCACAGTCATTTTTTTTTATTTAATTTTAAATAAAAAGGATGATTTTAATTTTTAAAAAGGTGATTTTTCAAATTAAATAAATTATAATTGTACTGTAGTTCATTTTAAAGATTTTTTACCTTCTGTCTTAATTGTAGCTTTTTTTAAATCAGACATTTTTGTTCATGCTTTTTTCTTAATTAATTATATTTCTTTATTTTTTCCTTAATTAACAATTTATTTAAATTTTTGAATCAAAATTTTTGTTATAACGCCACTCTTGATTTAAAATTTTATGAATTCGACTAAATCCAAAAATTGAATTTCAGTAAAAATTAGTAAAATTTACTTTGGACTTGATAAAATTTCCTCTAATAGTAAAATTTACAATTAAAAAAATTTTTTTCCGGCATAACTTTTACTATTGACGAAGAAAATTTCTTTATAAAAATGAGAAAAATTTACTTTTAAAGCAGTAAAATTTACTCTGTAAATAATAATATTTACTATCAAATTATACTACGTTCGAGAAAAATTAAAAAAAATATTTTCAAAAATTAACTGTGGAAATAGTAAAATTTGCTATTAAAAATTTGGAAATAGTACAAATCGACAGTTTAGGTTTCGCTTTGCAAATAGAAAAAGTTATTTTATGTTTGTTACTTCTTATAAAAAAATCTCAAAGTTTAAAAACTCTGAGAAAATAATATAAAAAGATTTTTAAGTTTCAAAAAATTAAAACTTTTGCAAAAGTTAGCAAAAACTAAGTAATTCTCTATCTTACAAAAATAAAATGCAAAATTTTTGTAAATTTTTTTTGAAAAATGCGGGAAAAGGGGAAAATATTCATGATTAGAAAGGAGGGGGAGCGGGGGGTAGCTGTTTCAGGGGATTTTATTAAATTTTTTTTAATTGATTAATTCACATTAGTAAAAATTTTTACTAATTTTTAGTCACTTTCCACTAACATTTTAGTAAAAAAAAAAAATAAAATTACTCTCTAAATTTGAATTAGTAAAACTGTTTCCTAATTTGAATTAGTGGCTGACTTTTTACTTTCGAGTTAGTAAATTTTAGTAATAAATAGTAATTCCTACTATTTTAATAGTAAATTTTACTAATAAATAGTATTTCCTATTTTAATAGTCAATTTTACTAATAAATAGTAATTTCTACTAATTCATTAGTAAAATTTACTCATTCAAAAGTAAAAAGTCAGTTACTAAAAATAAGTAAATTTTTACTAATGCTTGTGTAAATTAGTAAATTCTTAATGATCCTTAAGTAAGTTAGTAAATTTTTAATGATCCTTAAGTAAATTCTTACTAATCCTTAGGTAACTTCTTACTAATGTGAAAACAGTTTTCTTAAAAGTATCAAATTGATACTAAAGTGGATCAAATTGATGCAAAAAATTTTAAACAATTTCTGATTTGATCCACATTTTTGGTATCAATTCGTTGCAATTTGATACTTTTAAGTTAACAATGAATTAGTGTCTCAATTTTTACTAAAGTTAGACAGTTTTTTTAAGGATATGAAATCGAGATAAAAAACGAGTCAAAAGTTTCATTTCACAACGTTTTGATACGTTTTTCCTAAGGATATCAAATTGAGCCAAAGAACGAATCAAAAGTGTTGCGAAGCAACCTTTTGATACGTTTTTTGTCTCAATTTGACATTCTTAGAAAAACTCTGTTCAGGTTTAATAAAAGCAAACAAAAATCCAAAAATACAACCTACCAAATATACCAACTCCCAACTTTTTCCCACAAGAAAAATCAACTCCCACGCCTCTGGAATTGTGACCTCTAAAGCTCATCTTTTTCTCAAGTCAAAAGACTATGTAAATTTACCTCCACAGCTTCTTCATCTTACTAACATCTCTAATTCGGTCATCATTCTCGCATATGCTATACAGAAGGATGAACGCATCTCTCTCTCTCTCTCTCAAATAAATATAAATACACACAACTTTTCTCTGACTGCCACAGGTAGCAACGAAAAGAAGGAAAAATATTAGTCGATCGCCGTGACCGGATCTCCTCGAAGCTTGTATTTATACTCTTGTTTGCCCCTTGATTCGCCACGGACTCACCTTTAAAAGTCTGTCGGTTCGCCTGTCACACCGGTCAAAACACGCATTTACTTTTCTCCACCGTCTGTCCTTTACCTGCCGGAGACCACCCTCTGCTTCGTTTTCCTCCCTTGGATTTATTTCAATATTCTTTTTCCAAAACATATATTTTGAGGTCAAATTATGTAACTGGATGTTGGTTCAACTTCTCAAGCAAAAAAACCATTATTTTCTTAAGTAGACGTACCGAATTAAGGCTTAAAAATTTCCATTCTTCAAAAAAAAAAAAATTATTATTAATGACGTTTGAATGATTATAATATTTCTCTTTCTTTACATGTATATGTATATATAATATTTATATTCTTTATAAGTCAACCGAAAAATATACTCTAAAGCTCGCTCTAAAGAGCAAAATATATTTTTATAGACAAAATTTCTAGCTAAAAATTTCATATTTTTCTGAAAATATTTTCTATGTGCTTTAGTTTGTTTTTGGTTCAAGAAATTTATATTCAATTCAACACAGAAGGAAATTATCTGCTGGTTATTGTAGCTCTTTTGTTATTAGTAGAAAATAACTTGAAATTCGAAGAAAATGAGAAGCATTGAAGCAAATCTTTTTTTATGCATAACTTATTATTATTAGTTAATATATCATAAAAAATCTATTCTTATTTTTTTATTTCAAAACTTACTAATTTTGGGGCAGGATAAAAAAAAACTATTGATTATTCAAAAAAAAAAAAAGAAAACAAGTGCTAATGGGAAATTTTTGAATGTTTTTCAGAGGTGCAAAGAGAAGCTGAACACTTTAGCAATATCAGTGATGAACCAATGGCCAGGAGTAAAATTACGTGTAACAGAGGGTTGGGACGAGGAGGACAAACATGCCACGGACTCTCTTCATTACGAAGGACGAGCAGTCGACGTTACCACCAGTGATCGCGATCGTTCCAAGTACGGCATGCTGGCAAGACTGGCTGTCGAAGCTGGATTCGATTGGGTCTACTACGAATCCAGATCACACATCCACTGTTCTGTTAAATCTGGTAAGTTACCATCAAAAACATATTAAACCCATTTTAACTATATTAAAATCATTCTAACTAATAAAACCATTCAAACTATTAAAACCTTTCTAACTATTAAAACCGTTCTAACTATTAAAACCGTTCAAACTATTAAAACCGTTCTAAATATTAAAACCATTCTGACTAAAAAAACCATTCTAACTATTAAAACCATTCTAACTATTAAAACCGTTCTACCTATTAAAACCGTTCTACCTATTAAAACCATTCAAACTATTAAAACCATTCAAACTATTAAAACCGTTCTAACTATTAAAACCATTCAAACTATTACAACCGTTCTAACTATTAAAACCATTCAAACTATTACAACCGTTCTAACTATTAAAACCATTCAAACTATTAAAACCATTCAAACTATTAAAACCATTCAAACTATTACAACCGTTCTAACTATATTAAAACCATTCAAACTATTTTGACCATTACAACGATTCTAATCATCAAAATATTATAATCATCAAAACCATTGTAAACATTTTAATCATCAAAATCATCCTGACCACTAATAACATTTTAACCATTCAAACTATTTTAATCATGAAAATCATTTTAACCACTAAAAACACTTTAACCATTCTAAACATTAAGACAACATTTTCTCAATTTGATATCCAGGGTTGCCACAAATATTTAATTCACTCTCAAAATTATTTGATACTCAAAAAAAGGTACTATTACATTTATTTATAATTTTATACAAATTTCTCTAATTGTAAAATTATTCGAAAACAATGTTAATAAACAATGTTAACAAATAATGTTAAACAAACAGAAATATTAAATATACATTCATACAAAATTACTCTGGTTCAACGAAACTAATGTACAAAATCGAAAAAAAATCAATAACTTCTTTTTTAAATAAATATTTAATCATTATTATTTTTCCACAAAAATGAAGATTTTAAAAAATTTTAATTTCAAACCTTTTTGAAATTAAACAACTTATAAAAAATTTTTATAAAACATGAAGAAATCGATCACTCCAAGTCGAAGAATCGGAATGATCGATTTCTTCATGTTCTATAATAATTAAGATTATCATAAAATTTTTCAAACAAAATTTAATTATTTACAAAAATCCTAATCGAATTCTTCGCAAGAATCCAATTATTTTTAAAAATAGTAAAATATCTCAAAAGAATTCAATTATTTAAAAAAATGTAATAAAATTCGTTGCAAGAATTCAATTATTTTCATAAATAATAAATCGTTTATTCGGAAATTCATTTTTAAATCAATTTTTATTAGAAAATTCTACAAAAATTCAATTATTTAAATTCAAAAATAAAAAATTTATTAAATAATTGATTTTTTGTTAAAATTGAATTCTCGTAAAGAATTTTATCAGCAAATTTTTAAATAATTGAATTCTTTTGACGAATTTTAATAAAATTTTTTAAAAATAATCACACTCGTAATCACATTTTTCAAGGAATCCGATTAAAATTATATCAAAAATAATTAAAATCCTGCACTGACTTTTATTATTTATGAAAATAATTAAATTACTGAGAACAATTTTATTATTTATAAAAATGAATTATTGCGAAAAAATTTATAAAAAATTTATAAATAATTGAAATTTTGGGAAATTTTTATTATTTATAAAAAAAATTTGTTTGCGTAGAATTTTATTAACATTTTTTTTAAATAATTGAATTTCAATTCAATTCAATTATAAAGATAATTGAAATCGTGACGAGCATTTTTTTCTTAATTTTCGAAAATAATTGGATTTCTGAAAAGAATTTTCTAACTCTTGAAAATAATTTATTTATGAAAATAATTGAATTTTGCAGAGAATTTTATTAAAAATCTAGAAAACAATTGAATTTCTGGGATGAAGAATTTTGATATTTATCTAGATAATTGATTTCTTTCTAAGAATTGAGTTAAAATTTTGGAAATAATATTAAATACAATATTAAAAAATTCAACTATAATTTCAATAGAATTAAAATTAAAATTGTATTTTAAAAAATAATTGATATTCTGCGATAAGAATTTTATTAAGATTTTTTTTTAAATAATTGAATTCTTTTGGAAAATTTTATTAAAATAGTATATAGATATTTAAAGTCATTAAATTGAGGGAAATATTATTTTTGAAAATAATTAAAATTTTCCCAAGAATTTTCTTAAAGTTTTTGAAAATAATTGAATTTCGAAGAAGGATTTTATTATTTATAAAGATACATGAAATTTTGTCGAGAATTTTTAATAATTTTTGAACATAATTAAATTTTTGTGAAGAATTTCATTATTTTTGAAAATAATTGAATTTCTGCAGTTATATTTGTAATTTTAATTTATTTTATATATTATATTTATTTATTTTCATTTTTTATTTTAACGTCGTTAAAAATTCAATTTTTTTTTTTAGTGATTTTAACTAAAATTCTTCTATAAATCCATCATTTTTAATAATTCATTAAATACGTATTAAAAAATGTAACTAAGTTCAGAAGAATTTGAATTATTAAAATTTTTTTAAAAAAATAAGTTCTTTAAAATTTCTCATTAAATTCATTCAAAGTTGAGTTTTCTTATGAATTTTAAAAATTTAATTTTTTCTACTATACTTTTATTAAAAATCCTTGACTTTTCCCTGAATTCCCTGACCTGTGGCAACCCTGAATATTCTTACAAAAACTGTGACCATTTTAATCATCAAAATCATTTTAACCACTAAAAACACTTTAACCATTAAAACCTCAGTTTTTCTAAGGATATCAAATTGAGACAAAAAACGAATCAAAATTGTTGCAATGCAACAATTTGCAACAGTTTTTTGTCTCAATTTGATATCCTTAGGAAAACTGTGACCATTTTAATCATGAAAATCATTTGAATCAAAAATTCAGAATGTAAAAAAAGAATAAAGAGAAATAAATTTCACACTGATGGAAAAAAGGCATTTCGGTATTCTAATTTTGTAAAACAAAAAGATATCAATTATAATAGAAATATATCCCCTGCATTGGAACGTGAGAAAATAAAAAGATAAAATTGCAAAAAAAATGTATAATTTTATATGAATAATCGTGTTGCTATACTTGTTTTCGTGAAAATTCAAGTTCGTAAAAAATAATCGTAAACTCTTAACGAGCGAAATCACGGCGAAATGGCAAGAATCTTGGGTAAAGATATCCCTCTGCCGCGTGAGAAACTTAAAGGTGCGCTTATATATATATGTATATATGTACAAAACTGATGTCGATTCACAGTGTGCTGAAAATAGAAAGCAGGAGGGTTCATATGTATATAAGAATGCGATAAAAGACCCTCCCCGCTTGGCTTTTGGAAAGAGAATGGCCTTTTTGAGTTAAGGACTTGTTTGATTTAAATGGAAAAAAACGGAGGAAGCCATGATCAAAATTGGTTACATTAAATGAAAGGCGGAGTCAGTATATATTATAGAGGCACTCAAGAATTGTATTTCAATCGATTTTCTTAATTTCTTGATAATTTGACAAGTATAAATTTTATTTCAAAAAAAGAAGGCGCACGGTTAGAAAACGATTTTGAAAAATCGTTTTTAAATCTTAAAATTTTTATGCAATATCCCTCTTTATATAGAGACAACTTCGCGAACCAATAATAATAATTTGTATTCGTATTCTTCATAAAAGTTTTCAAACATATAGTTTTTAGTATAAAATATATAAATACACTAAAAAATGTTTTTCAATATTGAAATTTACTTTTGAAAACTTTTTTATGAAGATTGACAATAGTTGTAAAAGTTCGGATCTTAGAATTCTTAACCATGAATAACAGCGATGCAAAATATCACTGCTGCCTATAATGACCATTAAAAATTTAATTGGTCTTTCCTTATGAATAATAATATATCATTTCTCAAACGATTCTAAACTTGTTAGAAATTAATGCCTTTCTGAATAATTATCACTCATTTCAAATTAAATTGAACATGTACCATTCTGAATTATCGCATTAAAAGTTTTCTCGACACAAATCAACAGTTTTACAAAAGTATATATCATACAAAATTTTAATTAGTAAAAATGTTTACTAATTAACTTTTTGATTTTAAATTAGCAAATAGCAAATAGTTTTACTAATAAATAGTAATTTATATACTTATTAGTAAAATTTACTATAATTCAAAAAAGCAAAAAATCAGTCACTAATTCAAATTAGTAAACATTTTTACTAATTCAAAAGAAAGTAATTAAAAAATATCAAAAAGTATCGATATTGAAAATAAATATGAAAATAAAAACAAATAAAAATATATAAATGACGTCAGTGACAGAAAAAATTCTTTAAATACCTCCAATCATCTCATTATTACAATTATCATCATCAATAAATCAACAAAATTGGATAACAAGAACGAAATTCATCGGTAAATATTATTTAATCGCAAAATCGTGACCATTTATCATCATGGCACGAGTGTAATCACGCAAAGTACTACAAATCGCTCCATACAAATGGCTTAATTGATTATTTCACTCTACGATTAAAATTCTTTAGACATTTCGTAATTCTCTTTTTTAATTTTTAATTTTTTAATTCCTAAAATTGATTTTAAAAAAGATATTTATTTTATCAACATGTATCAGTTTTTCCCCCCCAAAAAAAATGTCTGATCGCAAACAATTTTTCAGATTTGCTGGAGAAATGAGTAAATAATTGAAATTGCGCGATAAGATTTCATCGATTCAAGTAACAAGAAATGTTGTTGTTGCAAAATATTTATCTTTTAAAAACCAGCTTTTGAATGTAACATAACTTCCCCGTAAGATATATTAAAGGAAAATATTAAACATAATTCTTGCATCAACATAACAGGAAAAATTTTACATTTAGGATAAATTAATGGAACCGATCTTGATCATAAACTTTCAAAATAACACTAAAATCATCAAAAACTTTTGGAAAAAAGTCTCCAAAAAAACTGTCTAAAATCAATACTAACATAA